CCTTCAAACGGTTTTATAAGCAACAAACATCTGTACATCTGTACATTTATAGATAGTTATAAGAATGGTTGATGGTAGATCGATAATGGTTATTATTGATATAAATTAAGCGATTTAATTAGAGGTCACGATATGTTAAAAATATTGTTGATCAACGAATTTAATCAACTAAAATTATAAATTTAATGTAGATTAAAAGAGATTAGAACGATAAATTGGGTTAAAACAAAAGATTTGCGAAAAAATAGAATTTTCAGAGGTCGGATTTTTTAGTCGTTCATGTCGGACTTCACCTTAAATGCAATATTAAATGAGAAAACTTTTGTCTTGTTTCCTTCTAAAAAGGATTCCTAAGACTAGTTATAGCGAGACTTGTCCGGTTATTGTTCATCGGGCTACATCAATTTAATGTTGAATGACAGACATTTAATGCGGACATACTACTCTAGGAGACCTAATGGTTATAGCCTGTCCGACATACTTCTTGAAAACGCCCGACATTGTCGTGGTCGGACAGGCTGCGGGCACCCTGAGTGTGCCCACTAATTTTTTGACCAGAAAATGTAGGTTTTCCTTGTTTTATTCACCTCGGAGTCTAATTTTCGCTTTTCTTGTGCTAACAGGTCGGTGTATTTTTTCAGTGGGAGGGAGCATTCTAGAGGTTGGTGACGAGCTTTTAAGTCAACTCGACGACCTTCTTGCAGATCCTCCATCCTCACGGTACTGGAAGACTCTTGTCTAGGAAAGACAACTTGTTTGAGGCCGCTTATCTCTGGACTTCGATTTCTACCAGTTCGAACCAGATATCCGACTTGTTTTGTTATATTGTTTCTTGCATGCAGTTTTCTACCCCTTAACTCGATCCTGTTAGTTTTCGACCATCCGAGACGCGAAGAAATACTTATGCCTCATCCCAAACCCACTCTAAAAAAAAGAAGAAAATGGCCAACGAACTCATGAGGCTGTTTTTGAACCGTCAACTGGCAGCCGCCAATGGTGGCTGACCTCCTCCAGCAACCGAGGAGGGAGGCAGAGGCCGAACAGTCTGTGGCCCTAGGGTGCCAGACTGGTTAATTTTGTATTGTGGTGATTAATGTGAATTTTTTTTTTTTTTTTTTTTTNTTTTTTTTTTTTTTTTTTTTTTTTGGTACATTGAATTTTATATGTTAAAATGACTTAATTGCTTTTCAATATTTTTGTTTTTTTTAATTGACTTTTTCTCTTTCATCTTCATTAAATAATATTTGATTCTACTAACAGAACGAGCAACACTTTATTAATATTGATATGATTTTTGTTGCAACAACAATGACAATGTTATAACTAAAATTGTTCATTTTGTATATAAAGAAGTTTTTCAAAATCTAAAATGGTCTTATAAATTGTGTTAGTAATTTGTTATTTATTTAGCCTTTTTATTTTTCCGACTTATTTTATAAATTTATAATTCTACATATTTTATTGATCAAATAGTATTTTTACCAATTACCCGTGTAGTACATGATAATATACTTATTATATTGAAAATTTTATTTGTTCACACGTTTTATTCATAGTGAATGCATTACACACACTCGGACAAAGCCGAAGCAAACTTGCACACCGAATGCTTCATTTACGAAAACCTACCAATTTTTTGGTCCAATTTTAAATTTAAGAGCATCTCTAATGTATGAATGTTGTTATCACATAAATTTTGACAAATGTCAATTAACTAGATGGACTATGAACCACATAAGAAAATTTTAAGTTCACAACTTTAAATTTAAAAAATTATCTCCAACGCACAATGTAATCAAACACAATATTGTCCATTTCGCTAAAATAAAAAAAAAATCTATAAATAAAAAAAATTAAATAATTAGATATTTTGAAAAAAATGGTAATAATATTTGTCTCTCTTATCTATATTGGTTGATTAGAATGTGAAAGAGAAAGTGGATGAATCATATTCTTCTCTACATTGTATACATTAATTATGTCCACCTCATCACTACATTTGTGTTAACATTATGCATTGGAAGGTTAAAAGTGGAGAAATTGTTAAATTAGTTAATGTAGAGTGTAATTTGTTACAACTACATTTGAACATTGGAGATGTTCTAAGTCCGAACCGGAATAATCATCTATTTCGGTGACCAATTGTTTACAAAACCAGACAAAAACCGACCAAATATTTTCGTCCAAAATTAAATTTAAGGCCGAACGGGAATAATCTCTATTTTGGTCACCAATTGTTTACAAAGCCGGTAGCTCGGACCAATTGGACCAGTTCAATTTTTTTAAAAAAATTATATATTACTAATTATCAGTTTAACCAATAACCTGATCAGTAAACCATTAACTATACCTNTATATTAAAACTCAAAAGCAAAATCTTACAACCGGCGATCAACTGACCGATATGAACCCAATACATCACAGCCTAAACATGGGCAAACTAATAACTCGAGGAATCACATCTTAATCCCCCTTAATAGCCAACTTGGCTAATCTATAGCTAGAAACACAAAGAGAAAAACCAGAAATAAACACACACCGAGCAATGAAGATAAAAAGTCAATATCAATAACAAGTTGCCTGGACTGATGTTGAAGTGCTCTATCTCTGAATTGGTCTTGAATCCAGTTATGGTCTCTTACACAGCAGCAAAAATCCAGCAAGCCATGAAAAGAAGCCACCTCTAATCCCCATCTCACTCCCATAAGTTCAGCAACTTCTTCTGATTCTACTCTCTCCAATGTAGCAGTCCAGGTTTTAAGTATTTTATCTTCGACTGCTGCAACACACCCAAGACCAACTCTCCCTTGACTGGATCTGTGAGCACTGATAGCTAAACAAAGCTTACCTACTCCACCTTGAAAATGATCCACCCAGTTCAAATTTTAGAACATTAGAATTAACAAAAATATATTATAATTTATAATATAAATATATATATATATATATATTTAAGTTTGTAAATTTTGTTTTTTAATATATTTGTATACTAAAAATAATATATATATATATACACATATATAATATGTTATGCAGTTTGATTGGTTCAATTTATTTGATTTTTAAAACTGAAACCGAAACCAAACCCGAATGTTAGAATTTTGGAAATGAAAATCGGAAAACGTCTTTTCAAAAATAAAACCGAACCAAAAATAAAAATGTCGTTTACTTGTTTTTAAGGCTATTTGGTTTGTCTTGTTCGGGTTCCATCTGGTAAGTGGTAATGATCAGGTTGAACGCAGGGCAGTAGCATTTCGGCAAGGTAGTCCTATAGTGTCGGTACGTGCATTAGCCTTTTCCGTTGTGAATAATGTTAGTTTGATTGACATAATGATTGACATAATCATGTGTAAATATTTTGAGTTGTTAATTTTAAAAGTGATGTGATGTGATATGATGTGTAAAATCACAAGATTGTACAGTGTATGTATTAGAGCATCTTTAGTAAAAAATCCCCATAAACCTCCATAAACCTCACTTTTACACTTCCCAATATGCCACATCATCAAAAACCTCATTCTTACTCCTACATCCATAAACCTCCAATAACAATAAACCCCATAAACCTCATTTTTCATGGGTCCCACATGTTTCCCACTTACTTTTAATTAATATTATACTCATATATTTTTATTTATATTTTAAAACTATAACTCTTACTTTATTTATTAAATATAAATATTTTATATATTTATCAAAAATACATATAAAAAATATATAATTACATATAATTATATTTTATTATTTATAATTATGTAGTGTTAGGTGCATACGAATGTAAAGTTTTATTTATAAAAATTACGAAACATAAAACTTACATAATGTTGAAAATTAAATTTTGAGTACAATTTTTATTTCTAAATATTAATTTTAGGAAGTAGATTCATTTCAAATATGTTCAACCAAGTCGTGTCGAAAATAGCTCGTTTTAAATTGTTATTTTTCGACAACAACCACAACTCGTTCTTATTTCAATTAATTGCTTTACATATTTTTTTCGGGCTGTCGAGTAACTCCATTTATTTTAAATCAAATAACCTCAGTTTTGATTCAATCGGTACATAAATGTATATGTATCATCTTTAAGAAATTCAATTTATTACAATTATTTTTAAAATGTGAATATATGCTATAAACCATATATGGTCTAGTATGTAAATTTGTACTAATTCATATATTTTCAAAAGTAACAATTTTGATTCAATCGGTACATAGATGTATATGTATCTTCTTCACTTTTGAAATGAAGATATGCTCTAAACCATATATGGTCTAGTGTGTAAATTTGCACTAATACATATATTTTCAAAAGTAACAGTTTTGATTCAAAGTTTGTTAGTGTTTGTTCTTGTTTTAAAATAGCTCATTTTAAATTATTATTTTTCTAAAGATTAAAGAGAATCATATAAATAAAATTTGGGATATCAGATTTTAACAAAAATAGTTGAATTTTACAAGCAAAAAATATTAGACAAAACGGGTTAAAGGAATTAATAAACAAATATATCTCTAATTCATTTAATTGCTTTTATTTTATGTTTTTGATTGTCAAGTATGAAAAAAAATAATTGGGAGGAAATTTTATATCTATTGCAATTTAAACTAGTTTTTTGTCACAATATTAGAATTTATTAAAAAAAAAAACCACCATATCAAAATACAGTGCCTAGAATAAATAAAATTGAAAAAGAAAAAATATATATATATATAACACAAAGCATCACGCCTTGCTTTGAATAAAAAAATAAAGAAAAATTAAAAAATAAGAAAATGGGCCCACAAATGAGGTTTACTTGAGGTTTTGATTTGTAAACCTGTAGTGAAAAGCTAAACCTTAAACCTCACACATTTAATAACAAAAACTGAGGAGTAAGTTTACAAACCTGGGGCAAACCTCCTTGTTAAAGATGCTCTTATGTCAAAGTTCATGTCCATCGTTACATTTGTGTAACGTTCATTATTAAGTTTTTTGGATTCAAATGGCTCGTGTTCTCTCTCTCTTACTTTTTCCTTCACAAATTCTTGTGTGAGTCAAACTAATCATAACCCGGATCGACTTATCATACTTTATGAACAATCTTATACTGTCAAATATCATACATTTTTTTTTATAGTTTTTTTTCAAAGTAAAACATTTATGCAAATATGCATTTTTGTGAAAAGAGTATGAAATGACCGTCTTTCTTTTTGGGTTGCCTTATGTACACGTGATTTCTTGTATTTGGATGAATAAAGTACGCAACTTAACAAGGTTTTAGGGTCATGTTTTCTGCTGACATGAAGAACATGCGTATTGTATTTGTTAAAGAAAAGGTTTTTTTGTCTTTGAGGTTTGCCCGTGTCAACGAACAATGTATCAACACTACACGATAGTATTATATAAATGGTGTTCATCAGTATCACCAAGAACTTATGTGACCCTACCTTAACACTCATTAGAGAGACAGAGATAGAGCATATGCAAAAGTGAATCTATGAAGTCCAGCAAGCTGTTTATTGTACCCATGAACAACATGCAAAATCCAGAAATGCACACAAACATGTAAAATCATCACAACACTCGAAACCAACTTCAAATCCTCAGGAAATTAAAGCAAAACAAAAAAAAATCTCCAAACACGAAACAAGCTTTTTAAAACCGAGATGCTACAACAATTTGTCTAATTTGTGAGTTCCATAATGGCAGAGACAATATCTCCATCAGACTCCTTGAGAGCCTTAACTGCCCGAGCCCTCGACACCCCAGCCTGAGTCATCACAAGCTCAATGTCTTTGGGCTCGACACCTGTCTCGTCGACCTCTTCATCATCATCCTGTGGCACACTTGATGGCTCGGCTTTTGGCACCACATTGCCAACATTAGGAGCCTTAAACTGCTCTGCTGCTTGGGTCTGCAGTTGGGAGCTTAAGTCCTCGATTTTCGCCTCCCCAAATATGACGTATGTGTCCGAGTTTGGGCTCTTGAACACGTCTGGCTTTGAGATGACGAAAAGGATCTGAAATAAACAAGATGCATTGTGTTTTGGCGTTTGTTACGAATTATATGCTCGTGAAGTTCAAAATTGAAGAGTTGTGCTCGACCTTAATGTATTAGCAATTACATGCTCTTTCAATGAGTTTCATAAAAATAGCTTTAGCCTTTAGGCAGTTCTTGGAAAGTAATAGGAGCGGATTAAGGGAAATGTTGGAAACGATTTAGAAAAAATGGGTAGTTCGATACTTTGTTGCAGAAAAAGGAACAAGAAAAAATGCAGAAAATTTTGGAAATTGTAGAATGAAATCTTCAGACGCTACTCAAAATTTTGAAAAATACAGTAACTTTTTTATGGTTTTCAGCTCAAAAGTAGCTTCTGACAGTTTTGAAAATGTAGTTAAAACTTAAAAATTTGCAATTGATGATTGATTTAGAACTTCAAAATTTTAAAATAAAAAGAGTTTGGATGGTTTTTCAGTGATGAATTTAATTAGAAATAACCACTCATTATTTGAAATCCGTCTTCACAAATGGACCCTAATATGGTGGGTATATTTTTTCGAAAACTTGAACGCATTAAGATGGTACTAATAGTTTATATAATTGGATTTTAAGTATTTAGATCAAATCTAAAGGCAGCATTTGAAATTAATAAAAGAAAAATGCTAAAGATATCACGAAAAGACCAACATTCTTGCTCTTCTTAACGGTGACTCGGCTGACCCCAGGAATAGCCTTCATTCCTAACTTTAGCATTGCCTTTCGACTCTTTTTCTCACTTCGGCTTTGCTTTGACCTACCACTGGAATCTTCTTGCCCTACCAAAAAGAAAAAAATACCAACTTATCCAAGTATTCGTTTGTGAAAATAAAACAACTCCTAACAATCAATAAATAAATAAATAAATAAATAAAAAATAAACTGCAGTGAAAGAACAATGGACCTATTTTATCTTACTTGGACTTCGATGTTGGTTAAAGTTGAATCGAACTAAGAATGTATTTGAGACATCTCAAAAAGCCCCCCATTACGTATAGATTGTTTTAAACTGGCAGCACACACACACACACACAGGTGATAGCCAGATCAAACATCTTAAGTGCATTCTTAACATATTTCATAAGCAAACATACCAAGATCAAGTTTAAAAAGTAAAACAATTAAATAAACTAATAAAGGAAAAAACAGTAAATTTTAATGATCAAAGGGGCCCATACTCAAGGGTTGATATACCTTCAGCATCATCTTCATCATCATCTTCGTCATCATCATCATCGTCCTCAACCAATGGCTCTTCATGCTGCAAGCAATTATTAATGACAATATATAAGTATACTCTTCATTAGAGATGTTAAATGGTCTTTGGCCCGACGGGCCGGCCCGTTTAGCCCGGAAAAAAGAGGGTTAGTCCTTTTACTAGTAGCCCGTTTAAATCAGGGCTTTTTAGGCCCGGACCGTTTAGCTCGAAGCCCGCTAGGGCTAGCCCGGAACCCGCTGGGGTTGGGCGGTGTAAATATTTGCATCAAGTAAGTAATATGCTCTTAGATTCCTTGTATATTACAATTTTGATATTCCACTTCACATGTAATACGATTTGTAATGGATTATTATGATTTTGAAAGATAATTATTAACAATATTGTTATTGTACTTCATACCAAAATATTTAAGCCAATCAAAACGACTAATAAGAAATACATGAAACATAGTGATAGACGGTAAATACTAAATAGCCGTTGAAAATAATTTTTAACTAGCCGTTGTTATTTTTTTTTATATGTTTTACTCTTTTTATTTTTTATTTTTTTTATATATTATTATTATTATTATTATTATTATAGCCAGAGCCCGCATAGCCCGTAGCCCGCTAGGGTTAGGGTTAGGTCCTTTTTTTGATAGCCCGTTTAAACCCGGGCTTTTTAGGCCCGGAACGTTTAACCCGAAGCCCGCTAGGGCTAGCCCGTTTAACATTTCTACTCTTCATTGTACATAAGGACAACACAGAGTGCCATAATCTAAAAAATATAGGGAATTGCCACACAAGTTCCTAGCTTTCACAATCCTCTCACCGCATAACACATTTATAAAACACAGAGAGGTACATAATCTTAGGATACTCAAGTCGGAACAATGTGTTTGAGAATTTACAGGTCTCCGTTTAGTTTGTTTTCAGGGCTAGTTCAAATTACAGGATGAGAAATTCAGAGCTAGTAAACAATGGAAATGAAAGAAAACTAGTTTATGCTGCTAGTTGTTCTCTTAATCTGTCGAAGAAAACAAATCTTACATACTAGCATAATAAGTAAAGAGAAAAATCACTAACTTACGTCTTGGCTCGTTTTTTTGCTCAAGCTCATCAAATTTCTAGGCCACTAGCAGTCTTCCATAAGAAGAAATAGGAAGGCATGTTTTACACTTTGCTTCAAACGATTTCAATTAACCATGGCAGTTTAAGTTGGAAAAGTTGCTGACAGATAGATTTATAAAAAAAATGTTTATGATGAATCCCAAGTTCAAGCCCCCAATTTGTTGATAATTAGTCATTTCCTCTACATCCAATCAATAATAACACACACACATAGACAATCTCTCTCTCTCTCATTAGATATTTTCTACTTCGATCTTCCAAAGCAAGAAGGGTAACGAAAATATCGAAAAGAACCCTAGATCTAAAAATCAAATCTGATGACATTAAGAAACTTAGAAACCTAAATAAACTTCCTCAACCTGTCACCAGCTTATGTTCATTCAAATTAAACCAGCTCTTCAAAACAAAAATGGAATACACAACACAGAAACTCAAATAAAAAAACGGGGGCACAAGTAGTGAAATAAAATCCTAAAATAAAGATCAAACTTGAGAATATCTCTGCGTGTTTTAGGTGTGAGATAAAGCTTACATCGATCTTCTGCTGCTCGAGATGAGCGGCCAGCAATTCTTCTTGCGATTGAGTCATAGTTTAAGCCTCGCGGATAAAGGAGTGAACTTGACCCAGCGAAAGAAAATATAAACCCTAGAAGTGATAAAGAGATACAGTGTACTGTGAAAATCTTTGAACGAATTTAAAGGGCATAAAAAACACTGTAAAAAAGACTGCTGTTAAAAAAAATCAATTCAATGGTTCACTGTGCCGTTTTAGCCTTCGTTAAGATAAATGAATCAAACTTGAGCATGTTTAATTAACAATTAAAGTTTGGCTTGTTTAAACTCAAATGTTTAATTAACAATTAGAGTTGGACTTGTTTTAATTTGAATTAGTTCATTAATATTAATATTTCTCCATCAAATCAAATCTTTAGATCGAATTTTAAGTTAAAAGTATGTGATCGTTAATTTTGATTTATTGAATCAACTTTCCTGTGCGCCGCGCCGTGCCTCGCCTCGCCTCGTTTAAAGCTCGAGCTCAAATACGATGAGCTTTGTATTTTTTTTTTTTGTTACCATCTTAAAATATACATAAAAAATAGATTTCTTTAGTACATAAAATATAAAATTAAATTTGAAGCTTTATTGAATATAATATAAAAAATGACAACAACTCACAATTAATTGACTATAAAATATTACAATATTAATAATTAGTAATGGATAATAAAATACATAATTATTATTTTTGTGATTATAATAGTTAAATTACATAGAAAAAAATGGAGTAACTAGTATATTTTATAAGAAAAAGGACTTTTATTTCATTTATTTTCTTATAAAATAAATTTTTGTATCCAATTGCTAAATAAATTCGTAAGATCCATTTAGAATAAATGGATACCATCATTGTTATGTGCGCCTGCACCACACTCCGAACTCGCAATTTGGCTTCTCTTTCTTTCACCCACACAAGAGGAAAAATACCCAAAGCTTCAGGTGAATGATTTGCCTGTGTTTTGGCTGTGTTTTGTATCTTTTATGTAAGGGAGATGTAATATCTGTGTTATGGCTATAAGTCTATAACTATGGTGACTTAACGAGAGTACTAAAGTACAATACTCATGTAATGTATACTTGTTAAGAAAAATATATTTAAGATTAGATAATAATAACAACAAAAAATTGTATTAGTTTTAAATATTTTTTTAAAAAATATATTATTATGTATATTTAAAATGATACCGTCACTTACACGACATACCATCTTATATTATAATTTTTTAAATTTTTATCACATAAGTACTTTGTAGTTAAATTAGTTTATATATTTTATTTTTTTCAAATTATTAATAATAGGTAATTGAATTTAAATTATAAATACAAATAAAATTATTTATTTACTTTGTATGTATAGTATATGTGTCAAATCGAAGCTCATCAAGACATAATTAATTTGATATATTGTATATAACAATTTGGTAATAAATAAAAAATTTATTAACTTTTAAATATATTGATAATTTAAGTTATAAAATAAAATTTGTTATAAATTTAAATGAAAAATTGGAAAAAAATATACCTTAATAATCACGTATATAATAAGACATAGTATTAAAACATAATTAATTCTCTTAAAACGGACAATAGTATCCAGTATATTTATGGATATTCTAAACATAGTTACTTTTGGATTCAAAATAAATTAAAATTCATCCAAGCCAAACAACAAAGCTTAAAAATTTGTCACATAGAATTCTGAAGTGTGCAAGATTGTCACTTAGGCTCAGCACATTCGAGAATTATATATAAGGAGTTTCATTTTGTGTTGAGGTTGTGTTATGCATAGTTCATATTTCGCTTTACTCATAATCTCGCGATTGGTATGTCTAATTGAAAATTGTTCCTAATCCCATGATATGTTTCTTATAAATTAATGACCGTTTAATTAAAAATTATTCCTAATCTCAAGATTAGTATGTTTCTTAGAAAGTAATGACCATTCAATTGAGAATTGCAAAATCATAATCTATGGAATTAGTCACCTCATAGTTAATGCATAGATTTTTCATTCTCATATGGTTAAAATTATTTTTTAGAAAATAAAACTAACAAATAACAATAGAAAAAATAAATATATAATATATAAGATAATTACTATTAAATTATGTTGAAAAAATTAAAATTAAATTTCAATTAAATAATTAAAATAATTTTATTTTTATTTATTATTCATATTTTACTTAGATATATTAAATACTTACATAAAAAATAAAATTCCCATACAATGCATTTATTTATATTAAAAATATATTACTTTATTTTTATATAGTCATATATATTATATATTTATTCATCAATTTAATTACTTATAAATAATCATAAAGGACCACATATGCTTATAAGGGTTTACGTAATGATATATTTATATTAGTTAATATAAGATGAGTGAAATAATATAAGAAATATATTTATTAAAATAATTAAAAAAATAAAAGTAATATTAGTTTTATATAATAATTAGAAAATAAAAGTAATATTAATATAATCATAAATAATAAAATAACATTGATTTAAATATTGAAAATATATTTTTGATAAAATATGGGTTAATGATGATATATGATGATAATATCAGTCAATCCATTCACGTGTTATTCTTTATGTGACAAACACATCAATGTAAATCTTGTTGAGTACTTTTCCATAATCATTCCTTTCATATCGAATTCAGCATAATGCCATTACTATATAGGAGTAGTAGAAATGGTATTAGCCATTGGTCACTTTCCAATTATAAAATAATTCAATAATTATTATTATTATTATTATTATAGGAATTAGAAGACAATGAAAATGAGAAAATCTGTAAAGTCAAAACCTGAAATATGATTATAGTAACATTATATTAATTTAGATGGATTGTAGTTAACTGGTATCAGATTCACCGAGTAAGAACAAGAAAAAAATCAATCCATATTAATGTAATAATATTCACCCCAAATTAATGTA